TAAAGATTATTGGAGGTAATTCACAGATAAAAGGATAAAAACCCTTTCCCCCTTCGGTAGACAGATAGAAAAGCATTTGATAAAAATTAAAGTTGTTTGTGACTATTTAGCAACCTAGGAATAGAAAATAGCTACTGATAAAAGTGTCTGCTGAACGTCTACAGCAGACTTTATTCTTAACGGTGAAGCATTATTTTGAAGAAGTAGTCCCTTCAAAGACATGACCCAGGCAGCGAACCCTGCAGTGACTGCTTCTCCTCAGCACTGTGCTGCTGGTCTTAGCACATGCAGCATAAATAAAAACAGATTTGAAAGAGATAAAATGGTTACTGTTTGTTTGTAGGTTATGATTTTCTACATAAAAAATTCCAGTGAAATCTATAGGTAAATGTTAGAATTATGAGGAAAGTTTAACAAGTTTACTGGATGAACCCACAAATCAGTTGCACCTTATAAGCCAACACAAGATGTCTTAGATGTGTCCCCCCCCTTTTTAAATGAAAAGTTAAACGTTGTCTGTAACTAAGACTGAAAAAAAACAAAGGCCTAAATAAATAGGGAGATATACCATGTTTGCTAATGGGACGATATCTTTGGCATTTCTTAACAAATTAATCTATGAAATGAACGTATTTCTCATCAAAATCCCAATGGAATTTTTATGAAAGGGAGAAGCAGATTGTGAGAGTCCCAGAGAAGAACGAGGGGAGCCAAGAATAGCCAAGATCATGTTAAAGAGAGTAAAGTGAGGGGGCTTCACGGTATTAGGCAGCGAGACTCACTATTATTGAGATGATGCATGTGACCTAGGCACAGAGTTGTACAAGCAGACCCCCTACACTTACGTGTTAGGGTGACATAAGCTGGTGAGAAAGGAAGGGACTAATAAATAGTGATTATCCAATGTTGGAGAAAAATAAAATTAAATCTCTCTCTCAACATAGGTTTGAAAGGCAGAACTGCAACTTTCAGAAGACAGCATAAGAGAGTATCTTACAGCTTTATGGTAAAGGGCTTCTTAACCATAAAAAAGCCAGACCATAAGGGGAAAGATTAATAAATTTGACTTTATTTAATTTCTAGTATTCCAAAAGACACAATAAAATGAAAAGACAAGCCGTAACCAGCAAAGAAACATGCAGTAGCAGGATATAGGGAGAACCTAATATCAAAGGAAGAGACACAATCTAATAATAACTTTTTTAAGTTGACAAAGAGTACAAACAAGCCATTCTTGGTGGAGGAAAACAAGGAGCAGACTAACGGGGTCAGCCTCAGCCTCGTGTCAGTGACAGTAATGATTCAGTGCTATTCCATGCATTTTGTTTGTTTGTTTGTTTGTTTGTTTTGGCTGTGCCATGAGGCATGTGGGAGCTTAGTTCCCCAAATAGGGATGGAACCCATGCCCCCTGCAGTGGGAGCGCAGTCTTAACCACCGGAACGCCAGGGAAGTCCCTCCATGCATGTTAATCTATTAATTCCTATCTAAATTGTTACAGAAAATAGAAAAAGTGCAAAAGCTACCTTTATCTTTTTATGAGGCAGTGAAATCTTAATTCCAAAACAAATAAGGATAATTACGGAAAATGATCAGCTTATGTCACTTACAAGCAAATTAAATGCAAACATCCTATATAAAATATTTGCTAACTGAACCCAACAGTATACTAAAAGTAATTCATAATGCTCAGTTAGAGTTTATCCCTGGACTGCAAGGATGGTTCAGCATCAAGAAAACTGTCAGTGTAATTCACTGCATATTAATAGAGTGAAAGAAGGTCATTTGATGTTTTTGATGAAGCTTTTGATAAAAGCTATACATAGATTAAAACACTGAGCAAATCAGGAAGAGAAATGAATTTCCTTAACTTGGTAAAAGCTAAATACCAAAATACTACACCAAAAAGTATACTTAATGGAGAAATTTTAGTTGCATTAACTTTAATGGAAGGAGCAAATAGGGATGCCCATTGTCATTGCCACTGTATAGGCAGTCCTGGGGAGTGTTAAGAAGAGAGGAAAGAGAAATAGAGGTATAGGTAAAGATGAGATGGGAAGTGATGAAACTGATTATTTGCAGGTGATAATGATAACCTACAACTAGGTCAGTAGCAGACTTGTAAGATTCAGCAAAGCTGCCAGGTAAGAGCAATTTAAAACATCAGTAGCCTTTCTCTACATCAGTAATAAGCAGCTAGGTTGTATATATAATAAAAAGGAAAGTGCCAGTGACAAAATACATCCAATTATAAATTATTTAGGAATTACCTTAACCCAGATATATCTATAGAGAAAACTCGAAAGTGATAATAAAAGAAGCCACAGAAGAAGATCTGGACAAGTGAAGGCCATCCCGAGATGGGGCAGCTCAGTGCTGCAGAGACGCCCACCTTCACCAAGCTAGTCTGTAAGTGTAGTGCAGTCCCAGTCACAATTTCAGTTGGATTTTTAAGATACTTGATAAGCATATTCTAAAATTCATGTGGAATAAAAAGTTTCCCAAATTGCTTAGAGAGCCATAGAAAGGTAAGTAAGAGACTTAACCTGGCAGTACTGGTCATGCTGCAAAGTCAAAATACTTAAAACAGTGTAATATTAGCACACAGATAGTTAAAGGGGCCACTGTGGTGAGAGAGAGCTCAGTCCCAAGGCGGATGGCGTAGCAGGTGATGGAGGCGGGCTCACTCTAAGGGAACCAGTGAAGCCTGAGCACGAAGGGTGAGAGCACACGTGCAGCGCCTCCTGTGTGCCCGGCGCTGTGCCAGATGTTTCTCACGTGTTGACTCGTTTCTTTCTTTCAAGGACCCTATAAGATAAGTACCATGGCTATCATCCCACTTTCCAGATGACGAAAATGATATACTGGAGTTAAGTGTTGTGGCCAGAGTCTCATGGTAGTTAGAAGAAAATGCAGTGTATCCTGACCTGTGGACAGAAAAGGACTTCTTTTTCAAAACAAAGCAACCTCCAAAAAAAAAAGCAACCTCCAAAAGCATAATAAGCCTCATGCAAAGAATAGAATTGGATTACATCAGATTTAAGAATTTCTGGCTAATTGACGGGGGGGGGGGAAGCTTACAGCTCTAAATCAGTCAGAAATTAACATTTAATATTCAAACCAGTAAGGAGAAGATGTAGAAAACCCAAATCAGAAAATGGGCAAAAAATATCATTAGGCAGTTTACAGACAAGGAAACCCAAAGGGGCAAAACTAAGAAGAGATACTCAAAACTCATTCATATCAGACACCTCTTACTAGACTGGCAGGAATTGGAAAGGTGGGAAATGCTGAGTATTGGTGGGGCTCTGGGGCTACAGGAGCCCTGTCGCCCTGCTGGTGGGCATGCTGGCTGGAAGGATGACCATCATTTTCCACTCCTGGGTGTAGAGCCCCGAGAAGTGTCCCAGCGGGTCCACTGGGGCCCCAGCAGGCAGTGGCAGCGTTGCAGCCCTGTGCACAGAGGCACCGGTCGCTGTGAGAACGCGGTAGAACGGGAGGTGTGCACCGTGGGATGCTGTGCTACAAGCAGCAGGAAAAGATGGCCCTCCAGACTGTGCTGGTACAGAGATAAATGCAGGGAGGTGTGCGGTTCCAGGCCAGTGATGTGTCTCAGAATACACGTACAAGAATGAAAGTAACATGTATTGAACACATCAGGATAGTTGCTTTGGTGGGCAGGGAGTGGAGAATGGGGATAAATTAGGAGGAGTAATGAACTAGACTTCCGTTCACTTTCCTCCTTGTAAATTGCCAGACCTATCTGAAAGCCACTGAGAAGTCATCCTAAGGTGAGGTTTTTCATAAGCAAATCTGGGACAGGACCCCACACTAAGAATGATGGACTGTCCCAAAGGGAACCTTTAGCTGCCCTTAAGCTCAATTTAGTGCCGTCTTGAATTGTGTCAAAATGGGAATGCCAGACACAAGATAGGCAGAAGTCTAAATTCCCCGCCCACAGACAGTTGACAGCATTTGCTCCTTGTCTTTCTCTGCAAGAGCTATCTAAGGGGAAAATCATCCTTTCACGTTTTGTTTCCCCAAGCCTCTGTGTGTCCCCTCAGGACCGGTTTTTACCTTTCTGGCCACTGTTCCTGGC